TCCATATGGTTCTGTCCCATCCGAATCCTTTAGATTTATAGAGTCTCACTTTTAGTAAACAGTCAATAAAACACACGTACAATTCATGGTTTGTTCACATTCCCGTAAAACTACTAAGTCCAGCCCAACAAATGCATAGTTCTGGATTGCTCCGATAAAAGCTGCAATTTAAAGCCCATCTTGGCTCTAGACACAATCAATTTAAAGCTACAATTTTTAGTTCTGGGCTTTACATATCAATTTAAAGCCCATCTTGACTCTAGACACAAGTGGAGCCCAAATATGGAGAAAAAGTTTCTTTTTCTTAATGCTACAGTTCATCACTCAGGAAAAACAAAATTACAAGAGATGAAAGGGAATGAAAACCTAAAACAAAATTTAGCCAAAATGTTTATCCAATCTATTAAGATAACAGAAGTTGTCACGTATGTCATATGATCATCTATAATTTCTGTTTTGCAGAGTTTAATAGAATCCAAAAATACAAGACATTATAGCGTATATTAAATTCTTAATATGTCTCATATCCATGCAAAATGGATAGGTAATAATTAAACTAATTGACTATAAATAAACTTGTTATTAAAAAAAATTAACGACTAAATTAAAATAGTTTGTTATTAAAATATATAAATCCAACATTATATATCTATAAATTTCAAATTATATTATACCGTACATAAACTATAATCTTGAACTGAAAATTTATAATAACTAAATATAATGTTATTTAGACAGGAAAATATAAACCCAAGGAAAAAAACGAGACCATATTGCATATATATATATGTGGAAAATGGATGCGCCATATTTATTCACATGCAATGAGCTCTAAAGTGCCATGAAAATTATTGTCAAATTGACCTAATCCCATGTGGAAGACACTCTTTACGAATTGTCAGCTCTTTTCCGCGTTTCGACCTCTATTTTTGTTTCTTCGTATAGCATTTGCATGGCCCATTTTCAACATCTACGTTAATCTATTTTCTTTATACGAAGTTAACAAAATGCATATATAGAGATATTTGTTAGTTTCAAGTTTAAATTTCTTTAAGTGGCAATAATGTTTTTAATTGCATGGCATTCCTTCATTATTAAATGGGAGGGGCCGGGTCTGTTATGTAAAGAGATCGGCAGTTAGAATTGGATTTGATTTGGTCTTTTTGACAAACGATTTGATTTGGTGTTAAAATTTAAAAAAAAAAAACAGAATTGGGAAAAGGTAATTAAAAATACTTGTATTATGATTTGTGAGCTTGTATTACCTACCTAACGTACTACGTTCGCATTCTATATGTAC